TCCTCTCTATTGTCGCTGTTCAGGTTCATATTTGTTCACACGCACCTCCTTTCATGTTCTCCCGCCTCAGTGCTGATGTTCACACTTGACTTTCTCTCTCAGTACATGATGAACAGTAAGCCTGTACACGTGTTCACCGGCGCCAGCACTAAAGTTCACTACTCTCTCTCTCAGTACACAATGAACAGTAAGCCTGTACACGTGTTCACCGGCGCCAGCACTAATGTTCACCTCTCTCTCCCCCGCAGTACATAATGAACATGAGCGAGGACGACCCCCGAAGGATGGACGAGATACGGAAATACGCCGCCATCTACGGACGCTTCGACTGCAAAAGGAAGCCTGAGAAGCCGCTTACCCTGCACGAGGTGAGGGGGGGTGGGGGGGTGAGGGGAGGGGGGTTTACCTGTAGTTTACCTGTAGCCGGGTTTGTGAATCCCCCAAATCTAGCCTGGGACCGGGTTTGATAGCTTGATTGATCGGACTGCTGCTTGGAGCGGCCCGCAGGCACACTTAACCATTCATGGGTCGCTTCCTACAGGAACATGTCCAATTGTCTCTTGGGAAGGAAAGGGTAAATGGTAAGAGATGGGAAAGGGGTGAAAGGGAAGGGGGAAAAGGGAAGGGAGGGGGGGGGAAGAGGGAACGTAAGGCTTATGGATAAGAGAGTTTTGATTTAGATTGAATACTTTTTTTTTAATTTGTCTTAGAAACAGTTCATTTAAGAACAGTCGCTCCAGTTAAACTTGGGGTAGAGCGACGGTCTCGCTTCATGCAGGTCGGCGTTCAATCCCCGACCGTCGAAGTGCTTGGGCACCATTCCTTTCCCCCCCCCCCCCCCCCCGTCCCATCCCAAATTCTTATCCTGACCCCTTTCAAGTGCTATATAGTTCCTATAGCTTGGCACTTTCTCCTGACAGTTCCCTCCCGTTCAGTTAAACCTTTGTTTTCCAGCAGACACCGCTGGAATATCTTGATTTCCAGCAGACTGGTCTTAGACTCCTCGAAGGAGTCACTTTAACCGAAATATAATAGTATGCTTCATATAGGTCCTTCAAGGAGCTCAAGGATTACTATATCGGTATATTTACTAAGAAAAAAGAGTGATTATACTCTGTTTTAATATGTCTGCGACACGTAATTATCTAGAGTAATATAATACAATGTTGATTTTGCAATAATCAGAAATATCTTAGTATCTTTACTGCAATATTGTTATATGGAGAGAGAGATTGTACTTATATGTGTAAAGTCATCTAACCCTAAAAGATTGTTAGGGTAGAGGGAGGGTAATTGTACTCAATATTACACTCCGCTGAGTTCTTCACATACTTGAGTACTCCTCATGTCTGAGTACATTCATGAGTACTCAGGCATACCACCCCCCTCTCCCTACCCTTACATACACCCATCAGTAAGACAACATTGAGGTAACGTCTTCCTTCCCTCCCCCGGCAGGTGTCTGTGAATGAGGCGGCGGCTCAGATCTGCAAGTATATGCCGGCGCTCTTGACGCGACGGGACGAACTTTTCCCGCTCGCCCGCCAGGTGGTGCGCGACTCCGGCTACCAGTACTCCAAGGGGCACTCCAGGTCATTATCTCACCCTCCGTCTTGTACCTCACCCTCCGTCTTGTACCTCACCCCTCCGTCTTGTACCTCACCCTCCGTCTTGTACCTCACCCCTCCGTCTTTTACCTCACCCTCCGTCTTGTACCTCACCCTCCGTCTTTTACCTCACCCTCCGTCTTGTACCTCACCCCCTCCGTCTTGTACCTCACCCTCCGTCTTGTACCTCACCCCTCCGTCTTGTACCTCACCCTCCGTCTTGTACCTCACCCCTCCGTCTTGTACCTCACCCTCCGTCTTGTACCTCACCCTCCGTCTTGTACCTCACCCTCCGTCTTGTACCTCACCCTCCGTCTTTTACCTCACCCTCCGTCTTGTACCTCACCCCCTCCGTCTTGTACCTCACCCTCCGTCTTGTACCTCACCCCTCCGTCTTGTACCTCACCCTCCGTCTTGTACATCACCCCCTCGTCTTGTACCTCACCCTCCGTCTTGTACCTCACCCTCCGTCTTGTACCTCACCCTCCGTCTTGTACCTCACCCCTCCGTCTTGTACCTCACCCCTCCGTCTTGTACCTCACCCTCCGTCTTGTACCTCACCCTCCGTCTTGTACCTCACCCTCCGTCTTGTACCTCACCCCTCCGTCTTGTACCTCACCCTCCGTCTTGTACCTCACCCCTCCGTCTTGTACCTCACCCTCCGTCTTGTACCTCACCCCTCCGTCTTGTACCTCACCCTCCGTCTTGTACCTCACCCTCCGTCTTGTACCTCACCCTCCGTCTTGTACCTCACCCTCCGTCTTGTACCTCACCCTCCGTCTTGTACCTCACCCCTCCGTCTTGTACCTCACCCTCCGTCTTGTACCTCACCCCTCCGTCTTGTACCTCACCCTCCGTCTTGTACCTCACCCTCCGTCTTGTACCTCACCCTCCGTCTTGTACCTCCCCCTCCGTCTTGTACCTCACCCCTCCGTCTTGTACCTCACCCTCCGTCTTGTACCTCACCCTCCGTCTTGTACCTCACCTTCCGTCTTGTACCTCACCCTCCGTCTTGTACCTCACCCTCCGTCTTGTACCTCACCCTCCGTCTTGTACCTCACCCTCCGTCTTGTACCTCACCCTCCGTCTTGTACCTCACCCCTCCGTCTTGTACCTCACCCTCCGTCTTGTACCTCACCCTCCGTCTTGTACCTCACCCTCCGTCTTGTACCTCACCCTCCGTCTTGTACCTCACCCCTCCGTCTTGTACCTCACCCTCCGTCTTGTACCTCACCCTCCGTCTTGTACCTCACCCTCCGTCTTGTACCTCACCCTCCGTCTTGTACCTCACCCCTCCGTCTTGTACCTTGTCCTTATCGTGTAACTGATTCTTAAAAATGTTTCGTGAAAGTCAAATATTTTTTCCTTACCAGTAAAACGGTTCTCACTAGTACATTGTTTCCTAGAGTCAACAGATTCTAGGAATTCTCCTCGGTAACTAACACCTTGAAGTGTTGAGTAACCTAAATGATATACTACTATACTATATAATATATACTATATATGAATCAAATTTGTGTGTGCCCCCCAGCAGGTCCCAGACGGTGGTGGGCCGTGAGGAGGAACCCAGGACCAAGAGAACCAGATCAGACTCCGGCCACGACGCCGGCGACCTCAAGAACGACCTCCAGTGGAAGAAGAGACAGGTAAGTCGTGCCTCTATAGTCTCAAAGTGAATAAATTCACAAGAGCCGTGGTGAGGGTTCGAACCTGCGTCCGAGAGCATCCCAGACGCTGCCTTAATCGACTGAGCTACGACATGGTCGGCCCTTGTAGATTTGTTCATTTGATGCATCACGCAATTGGGATTTCTGTGTGTAATGGGTTGAACTTGCTATTGGCTATTGGGTTGCTGGCTATGGCAGCTAGGCTCTTAGGTAAGCTGGGGGAAAGGAGAAGCTGTAAGCTTCTCTAACAGGTGTCAGCAGCTGTCTTTAATGCCATGAGGTAACTCTCTGGGTGACGCACTCCTCTCTCCCAAGGTCTTATTCTGCTTTTTATTTCTTTTGGTCGTCTTGCGGTTGCTTGAACCGGTTTCTAGATCAGGTCTCAATATTACCTAAAAAAATTAATCGTATAATTAAGACACTGCAAACCGGCCATGTTTTTTTTTTAAGGCAAAATTTTAGGAGCAACACCTATTATGATATTACATCATTGATAATGGTAATTGTGGTTTTTGAAATTGGCATAAATTGGTTCGGAGATGCACGGGTAATAATAATATATATCGAATATTGAACAGTGAGCCTAAATGTTAACATAGCTAGGCCTCAGGGCAGTGTTTTTTTTTTTTGTTCACCACAGCGAGACCGTGTCGCGAGGGTGTGTGTGTGTGTGTGTGTGTGTGTGTGTGTGTGTGTGTGTGTGTGTGTGTGTGTGTGTGTGTGTGTGTGTGTGTGTGTGTGTGTGTGTGTGTGTGTGTGTGTCTCTCTCTCTCTCTCTCTCTTTCTCTCTCTCTCTCTTTCTCTCTCTCTCTCTCTTTCTCTCTCTCTCTCTCTCTCTCTCTCTCTCTCTCTCTCTCTCTCTCTCTCTCTCTCTCTCTCTCTCTCTCTCTCTCTACTACCCCCCCCCAGCAAGAGGTGTATATATGGAGGAGGAGTGACACCCTGGATGCTGTGGGTATGACAGAGTATGATGAATGAATACATTTTACCAGCTATTAAATATGACATTTAGAAATTCTTGGGAAATTTTGTGGACATCAGAGTATAATGGTTTACATTATACTGAGATAAAACAGTAGGAAAACAAAACTAATGGAGTCTAGTTAATGCAATATGGCAAGATTTGTTGTGGGGGGTCCCATTGACACTGTGTCAAGTGGCACTCATTTCATACTTTCATAAATGGCAACCCTGACCCGACCATGTTGGGCACGTATGCAACAGCAATTACTGTTCAAAATTGGGTAAGGCTAGCCCCAAGCATCTGGTCTCCAACCTCAGACAGAGAGGTTTAATTAGATATAAATATCTAATTTATAGATATAGATAAAAGTACCTTGTTATTTTACCTGAAGTTCCATTTGTATTGCATTTTCCAACCTAAGGTTATATTTGTTATTTAATAATTGTTTATTATTGTTGGAACTATTTATATATTTAACTGTAAAGAGAAATTCATGTGATGTTTTATGTTTTCACTTAAATAGAACTGTGGTCTGATTAGTATCCTAGATGATAACTTGCCGGCTGTCCCACACCCCCACACACCCTGGGCCACACCCTGTGTCTTCCTCACACCTGCACACCCTGTGTCTTCCTCATACCTGCACACCCTGTGTCTTCCTCACACCTGCACAGCTTGGGCCACACCCTGTGTCTTCCTCACACCTGCACACCCTGTGTCTTCCTCACACCTGCACAGCTTGGGCCACACCCTGTGTCTTCCTCACACCTGCACAGCTTGGGCCACACCCTGTGTCTTCCTCACACCTGCACAGCTTGGGCCACACCCTGTGTCTACCTCACACCCCCACACCCTGGGCCACACCCTGTGTCTTCCTCAACACCCCCACACCCTGGGTCACACCTTTTGACTGCCTCATACCCTCACAACTTTCCTTACAGCCTCACACATTAACCGCCTTAACCAAACCCTTACAGCCTGCCTCACATATCTTCACAACCTGTACCACACTCAGCTCTTACGTCCTCATTACATGTCTTACGCCCTCAGAGCCTGTCGTGGCCATCATGGCTGCCCCACTTAATATACCCCCTACATCTCATAACGTGCCTCACCTCTCATAATCTGTCCCTCACAACCTACTTCCCACCCCCTCACGACCTGTCTACAACCCACTAACGCCGCCATCTTCCCCCCAGGAGCGACTAGAAGCCATCAGCGAGGAGCTGCGACATATGAGTGAACGAGCGGAGGAAGTACGGACGAGTCTCAGCTCTGGAGGCGGAGACGTCACGGCCCTCACGTCCCAGATGGACGCCCTCCAGTCCCGGCACTCCCAGCTCACCCTCGAGCAGAATGAGCTTCTCAAGGCCCAGCGCAAGTGAGTCCTCCTTGAGTTCTTATTTGAGAATCTGCATTGGTCGTCGGCGAAGAGCCTGGTGGCTGCGGAGGTGGCGAGTTCGAAGCCCTGTGGCCGCGAGTTCGAAGCCCTGTGGCTGCGAGTTCGAAGCCCTGTGGCTGCGAGTTCGAAACCCTGTCGTTACCCCGCGCGGATCCTGGATGAGACTTTCGGGGATGGTTGATTGCTGGAGCGACGGAATGTCTCTTTGTCTTGAGAATTTCTTGACGATTTATCATATGAAACGAACATGAGAGCTGCATCTTTTTGAGGCGGTTTTATTTTTTTTGGCGGGGGGGGGGGGGGGGTCGTTGATGTGAATCTTCGAAACCTCAGGTCGAGACATAGTCTTGCAAGCTGAACTGAATCTGCCATCAGATTAACTCAGCATATGTTGCTGTTGACGTATATGTTGCATAACCGCATCGCGTCGGCAGTCTTGAGGTGGGAATATAGTTCTGTGGCACCAGAAGCCACTGATCCCCCCCCCCCACACACACACACACACACCTCAAAAGCCCACACACACACACCTCAAGAGCCCACACACACATACAAGAGTGAGACCATCAGCGTAGTACTTGAGTATGTCAGCCGGCATTGTGTAGGCTGTATGGTACAGGGACCAACTGGCACTTGTTACGGGGTATCCATAAGTGTCAACAGTGCCTGAGTGCTGAGCCGGAAAACCCTTCTGAAGTGTAAACTTGTAAATATTATAAGTAAGAAGACCTTCAGTACAAATTGAGAATTAGTAGAAATGTATATATGTATTTATTCACCCCTCATTTGTATAATAAAAGAACTACTTTTCTGGGGTGTGTATGGGGCTGCTTCTGAGGTGTGTATGGGTCTGTTTCTGGTGTGTGTATGGGTCTGTTTCTGGGGTGTGTATGGGTCTGTTTCTGGTGTGTGTATGGGTCTGTTTCTGGGGGTGTGTATGGGTCTGTTTCTGGGGGTGTGTATGGGTCTGTTTCTGGGGTTTGTATGGGTCTTTCTGGGGTGTGTATGGGTCTGTTTCTGAGGTGTGTATGGGTCTGTTTCTGGTGTGTGTATGGGTCTGTTTCTGGTGTGTGTATGGGTCTGTTTCTGGTGTGTGTATGGGTCTGTTTCTGGTGTGTGTATGGGTCTGTTTCTGGGGTGTGTATGGGTCTGTTTCTGAGGTGTGTATGGGTCTGTTTCTGGTGTGTGTATGGGTCTGTTTCTGGTGTGTGTATGGGTCTGTTTCTGGTGTGTGTATGGGTCTGTTTCTGGTGTGTGTATGGGTCTGTTTCTGGGGTGTGTATGGGTCTGTTTCTGGTGTGTGTATGGGGCTGCTTCTGAGGTGTGTATGGGTCTGTTTCTGGTGTGTGTATGGGTCTGTTTCTGGGGTGTGTATGGGTCTGTTTCTGGTGTGTGTATGGGGCTGCTTCTGAGGTGTGTATGGGTCTGTTTCTGGGGTGTGTATGGGTCTTTCTGGGGGTGTGTATGGGTCTGTTTCTGGGGTGTGTATGGGTCCGTTTCTGGGGTGTGTATGGGTCTTTCTGGGGGTGTGTATGGGTCTGTTTCTGGGGTGTGTATGGGTCCGTTTCTGGGGTGTGTATGGGGTCTGTTTCTGGGGTGTGTATGGGTCTTTCTGGGGGGTGTATGGGTCTGTTTCTGGGGTGTGTATGGGTCTGTTTCTGGGGGTGTGTATGGGTCTTCTGTGGTGTGTATGGGTCTGTTGTGGTGTGTATGGGTCTGCTTCTGTGGTGTGTATGGGTTTGTTTCTGGGGGTGTGTATGGGTCTGTTTCTGGGGGTGTGTATGGGTCTTCTGTGGTGTGTATGGGTCTGTTGTGGTGTGTATGGGTCTGTTGTGGTGTGTATGGGTCTGTTGTGGTGTGTATGGGTCTGTTGTGGTGTGTATGGGTCTGTTGGGGTGTGTATGGGTCTTCTGGGGTGTGTATGGGTCTTCTGGGGTGTGTATGGGTCTTCTGGGGTGTGTATGGGTCTTCTGGGGTGTGTATGGGTCTTCTGGGGTGTGTATGGGTCTGTTGTGGTGTGTATGGGTCTTCTGGGGTGTGTATGGGTCTTCTGGGGTGTGTATGGGTCTGTTGTGGTGTGTATGGGTCTTCTGGGGTGTGTATGGGTCTTCTGGGGTGTGTATGGGTCTTCTGGGGTGTGTATGGGTCTTCTGGGGTGTGTATGGGTCTGTTGTGGTGTGTATGGGTCTGTTGTGGTGTGTATGGGTCTGTTGTGGTGTGTATGGATCTGTTGTGGTGTGTATGGGTCTGTTGTGGTGTGTATGGGTCTGTTGTGGTGTGTATGGGTCTGTTGTGGTGTGTATGGGTCTGTTGTGGTGTGTATGGGTCTGTTGTGGTGTGTATGGATCTGTTGTGGTGTGTATGGGTCTGTTGTGGTGTGTATGGGTCTGTTGTGGTGTGTATGGGTCTGTTGTGGTGTGTATGGGTCTGCTTCTGGGGTGCGTATGGTTTTGTGTGAGCGCGCGCGCGCGTGTGTATTCACCTAGTTGTTTTCACCTAGTTGTGCTTGCGGGGGTTGAGCTCTGCTCTTTCGGCCCGCCTCTCAACCGTTTCTTCTACTACTACTATTTTTTTTTCCACACCACTCACACACACACACACCCCAGGAAACAGCCCGTGACAGCTGACTAACTCCCGGGTACCTCTTTACTGCTAGGTAACAGAGGCATAGGGTGAAAGAAATTCTGCCCATCGTTTCTCGCCGGTGCCCGGGATCGAACCTGGCACCACAGGATCACGTGTCCAGCGTGCTGTCCGCTCGGCCGCCGGCTCCTTCGGGTGTGTGTGTGTATTCACCTAGTTGTGTTTGCGGGGGTTGAGCTTTGCTCTTTCGGCCCGCATCTCGACTGTGAATCAACTGTTTACTAACTACAATTTTTTTCCACACCACACACACCCCAGGAAGCAGCCCGTGACAGCTGACTAACTCCCAGGTACCTATTTACTGCTAGGTAACAGGGGCATTCAGGGTGAAAGATACTTTGCCCATTTGTTTCTGCCTGGTGCGGGAATCGAACCCGCGCCACAGAATTACGAGTACTGCGCGCTATCCTCCAGGTTACCAGGCCCCTACGTGTGTGTGTGTGTGTGTGTGTGTGTGTGTGTGCGTGTGTATGTGTGTGTGTGTGTGTGTGTGTGTGTGTGTGTGTGTGTGTGTGTGTGTGTGTGTGTGTGTGTGTGTGTGTGTGTGTGTGTGTGTGTGTATGTGTGTGTGTGTGTGCGCGTGCGTGTGTATGTGTGTGTGTGTGTGTGTGTGTGTGTGTGTGTGTGTGTGTGTGTGTGTGTGTGTGTGTGTGTGTGTGTGTGTGTGTGTGTGTGCGTGTGTGCGCGTGTGTGTGTGTGTGTGTGTGTGCGTGTGTGCGCGTGTGTGTGTGGGCGTGTGCACGCGCGTGTGTGTGTACGCGTGTGATAGTTGTCACCTAATTGTGTTTACAGGATGGAATAATAGCTCCCTTGCCCGCCTTACCATCTCCCTGGTTTGTTTATTTAGTAACTTTCATTGCTGTATTTGCTGCATTTTGAATTAGGTGCAACGGTCTTGTAGTTCGATCCATCGATTGTTACTCTTGCACTCAAGACGTTCTCCTGACGGCTCTTCGGATCATCTGTGTCTCCAGCTTCCTCCCGTGTCCTCTGGTCGTACCTCATCTGTGTCTCCAGCTTCCTCCCGTGTCCTCTGGTCCTGCCTCATCTGTGTCTCCAGCTTCCACCCGTGTCCTCTGGTCCTGCCTCATCTGTGTCTCCAGCTTCCTCCCGTGTCCTCTGGTCCTGCCTCATCTGTGTCTCCAGCTTCCATCCGTGTCCTCTGGTCCTGCCTCATCTGTGTCTCCAGCTTCCACCCGTGTCCTCTGGTCCTGCCTCATCTGTGTCTCCAGCTTCCACCCGTGTCCTCTGGTCCTGCCTCATCTGTGTCTCCAGCTTCCTCCCGTGTCCTCTGGTCCTGCCTCATCTGTGTCTCCAGCTTCCTCCCGTGTCCTCTGGTCCTGCCTCATCTGTGTCTCCAGCTTCCACCCGTGTCCTCTGGTCCTGCCTCATCTGTGTCTCCAGCTTCCACCCGTGTCCTCTGGTCCTGCCTCATCTGGTGTCTCCAGCTTCCTCCCGTGTCCTCTGGTCGTACCTCATCTGTGTCTCCAGCTTCCTCCCGTGTCCTCTGGTCCTGCCTCATCTGTGTCTCCAGCTTCCACCCGTGTCCTCTGGTCCTGCCTCATCTGTGTCTCCAGCTTCCACCCGTGTCCTCTGGTCCTGCCTCATCTGGTGTCTCCAGGTCCCTCCCGTGTCCTCTGGTCCTGCCTCATCTGTGTCTCCAGCTTCCACCCGTGTCCTCTGGTCCTGCCTCATCTGGTGTCTCCAGCTTCCATCCGTGTCCTCTGGTCCTGCCTCATCTGTGTCTCCAGCTTCCACCCGTGTCCTCTGGTCCTGCCTCATCTGGTGTCTCCAGGTCCCTCCCGTGTCCTCTGGTCCTGCCTCATCTGTGTCTCCAGCTTCCACCCGTGTCCTCTGGTCCTGCCTCATCTGTGTCTCCAGCTTCCTCCCGTGTCCTCTGGTCCTGCCTCATCTGTGTCTCCAGCTTCCTCCCGTGTCCTCTGGTCCTGCCTCATCTGTGTCTCCAGCTTCCTCCCGTGTCCTCTGGTCCTGCCTCATCTGGTGTCTCCAGCTTCCTCCCGTGTCCTCTGGTCCTGCCTCATCTGGTGTCTCCAGCTTCCTCCCGTGTATTCCTGACTAACATCACATTCTCAGAAGTTACCACAGTGGTTACTCATTCCTAATTAATGAAGTCTCCTGACACACTCTTGTGTCTGCTCTAATATGAATGAATCACAAAGTTCCTCCGCTACTGTCTGTTTAAGCTTTCCTCTTCGTGTCATTTTCTTCCTGGGGGAGTCACTGTTTTCCAATTTGTTCCTCCATGGTTGGAGTTCCTTAAGACTTGATGGACTGATGTGATGGGCTGTTTCTGTTGCCTCTTGGAGGGTTCCTAC